CATTGAAGCAACTGCCATGTGATTGGTTGATTAGATAATTGCATTAATGAGAAATTGAACAGGTGTTCCTAATAATCCTTTAGGTGAGTGTATATTAAAAGTTGCAAGGTGGAACCTTGATGGATCGGACTTGTTTGTCCAGCACATCCCACAGATGCTCGATTGGATTGAGATCTGGGGAATTTGTAGGGAAGGAATCACCTCAAACTTGCTGCTGTGCTCCTCGAACCATTCCTTAACCATTTTTGCTTTGTGGCAGGGTGCATTATCCTGCTGAAAGGGGACACAGCCATCAGAGAATACCGTTTCCATGAAAGGGTGTACATGGTCTGCAACAATGTTTAGGTAGGTGGTACGTGTCAATGTAGCATCGACATGGATGGAAGGACTCAAGCAGAACGTTGACCAAAGCATCACACTGTTTCCGCCGGCTTGCCGTCTTTCCACAGCGCATCCTGGTGCCATGTGTTATCTATGTCCATCCACATGGCGTAAAGCCAGCATGGGCACCCTGATTGGTCTGTGGCTATACAGCCCCATATGCAACAAACTGCAATGCACTGTGTGTGCTGACCAGCATTAACATCTTCAGCAATTTGAGCTACAGTAGCTCGTCTGTTGGATCGGACCACGCAGGCCAGCCTTCATTCTCCACGTGCATCAGTGGGCCTTAGCTGCCCATGACCCTGTCGCTGGTTCACTACCGATCCTTCCCTGGACCATTTTTGATCTCCTTTCCTTGACACCCCATAACAGCTGCAGTTTTGGAGATGCTCTGACCCAGTCGTCTAGCCATCACAATTTGACCCTTGTGAAACTCGCTCAAATCCTTACCCTTTCCCATTTTTCCTAATTCTAGCACATCAAATTTGAGGACAAAATGTTCACATGCTGCCTAATTTATCTCATCCGCTAACAGGCACCATGATGAAGAGATAATCAGTGTTATATACTTCACCTGTCAGTGGTCATAATGTTGTTCCTGATCTGTGTATATATAAACTATATGGACTGTATTGGGATGCCTGACCATTACACCAACAGGGACTTTAAAGACATTGCATTCAAATACATAGACTTTAATATAGAGTTGGCTCCCCATTTAAGCTATATCAGCTTCCACTGTTCTTGAAGGCTTTCCACAAGATTTTGGAGTGTTTCTGTGGGAAATTGTGCCCATTCTGTATAGCATTTGTGAGGTCAGGCACTGATGTTGGACAAGAAGGCCTGGCTCACAGTCTCCGTTCCAGTTCATTCCAAAGGTGTTTGATGGGGTTGAGGTCAGGACTCTGTGCAGGCCAGTCCAGTGCTTCCAAACCAAACACATCCAACCATGTCTTTATGTACCTTGCTTTGTGCACTGGGGCACAGTCATGCTGGAATAGAAAAGGGCCTTCCCCAAAATGTGTCCACAATGTTGGAAGCATAGGGTTGTCCAAAATGTCTTGGTATGCTGAAGCATTAAGATTTCCTCCTTCACCAAACTTCACAATTGGCACAATGCAGTCAGGCAGGCAACGTTCTCCCAGCATCCGCCAAACCCAGACTCACACATCTGACTGCCAAAGAGAGAAGCGTGATTCATCACTCCATAGTACATGTTTCCACTGCTCCACAGTCCAGTGGTGTTGTGCTTTACACCACTCCATCTAACGCTTGACACTGGACTTGGTGATGTGAGGCTAGCAAACAGCTGCTCGGACGTGGAATCCCATTCCATGAAGCTCCCGCCCCACAGATTTTATTCTTACATTAGTGCCAGTGGAAGTTTGGAACTCTTCAGCTATGGAATCAGCATAGTTGGAAACTTTTCACCCCATGGACCTTAGTAATTGTTGACCCTGCTCTGTGACTTTACGTGGACTTCCGCTTCGTGGCTGAGTTGCTGTTGTATTTCAGTGCACAGGTCGACTCTTCTACATTTCCATCATACTATATAATGTCTTTTAAGTTAGAGGTAAGTTGAATGAAAAGGTGAAAAGTGCAAAAAGACTAGTATAAGATAAGAGGAAATCTATATTTAATAAGAGTAGCAGATAGCACATATGAACTGGAAGGGAAATCAGTCCATTTAACTGTCATTGAAATACTAAAGAAAAAAACTTATCAATGAAAATATAATAGAGTCTATTTATTTATTACAGGTGAACACAGAGAAATGTAGTCTATTTACTTGTTTACTAGTATATTTGTTTTATTTTATTCAGCTTTCTAACCTGGGAGAAGACACAATGCAACCAGAGACAAACAATAATCGCGACAGAGTAAAATCCAATCAAGCTGTGAATGATGATTACAGCAACACGGGCTATGACAGAGGGCACCTCAACACCAACTCTTTCCAGTGTGATGATGGGCGTAAAGCTACATTCACCCTGACCAACAGTGCACCTATGGATGCTTGCTTTAACCGTGTCCCTTGGAAACAATGGGAGCAACATGTCAGGGACATTTTAAAGGACAATGCTGTATCAGGAACTGCCTACCTGGTAACAGGAACTGTACCTTCACTAGACTATAGAATACCAAGACAAGGGGAATTTGATGATCCCAGTGCAAGAGAATTCAACAGAGTCACTGTTCCTACACATGTCTGGACAGCTGTCTGTTATAAGGATGATAATGATGATGAGCGCTCCTTTTCATTTGGGTATATAGGGCTAAATCAGCCTGACAGTAGAATAAATATAAAGACTGTACCACAACTTAATAATCAGTTGTCTAAACTTTATCGTGCACCTGAAGTAAATATTTTCAAAGATGACTGTTTTTCTACCAATCAGGAAACTCAGAAAATCATCAAGCATCTTTACAGGACAATCCAGCTGCCCATTAGTGATAGACTGATCATGTCTGATGATATTCTGAATACGTTTCATGCAGCCACGAGTCGGTTTGATGACGATGAAGGGCCACCACCTTCCAAGAGGCCAAAGGTAACCGAGGTGATAATTAGTGAAAACTTTGACAGCCTGGGAACTTGGTTTAAAGCGACAGAGAGGATGAAATATGTGTCTGGGTCGGCCTGTGTTCAGTCCCAACCATTTACTGGCCCAGTTAAGAGTCTAAGCAGCACAGGGATTCAAAAAAGAGACATCGCTGATAATTCGCAAGAGCTCGTTTGTAGCCTCGTTAAAGAGGAGGTATCAGCCTGCACTACATCTTGCCTGTACAAGGAGGAGGCTAGAGATTATTATTGCTATGATGGAACATCAAGAGAGAGATTGTGCTCTCCTGAGTATTCCATAATAACGGTCAGTGGAAGTAAGTGTAACAGTGACCACACCTGTGGGACATATGGCTATGACTACTACTGGTGTTGGGTAGACAGTTCATGGGACTACTGCAGTCCCCCATTACCAATAGGCAAAGGATACGGAGGGAACTACTGCCGTTCCAACCACAACTGTGGCTTCTATGGTGAAACGTACACCTGGTGTTACACTGATTACAATGACAACTGGGACCAATGCTGCAGGATTGCCGATGATCGTTTCTCAGCTCTAAATGGCAAGACCTGTAAGCCTGACTGTCCATGCGGTCATTACTCCGAGAGTTACCTTTGGTGCTATACCACAGATGGGTCTTGGGAATACTGTTGTACTTGGTGACCCATCTCTTTCGTGTCCACTAAGTTTTGCTCTTGAAAGCATATCTGTCAAGTCAGCTTAACTGAAATCCATGTGAAATCCGATTGTCAAAAACATAAAAAAAACACATAAAACTGTTGAAAAATAAATTATTTTCTGAGAGAATGGGAGAGATAGGATAAGAGAGGACAGAAGAGCAATGTTGCCTGAAAATAGAGAAACTGCAGTAGCAGTATTTAAAGGCGCTGAACTGAAAACACGCCAACATCAGATAACAAACCAATCAATATCAAAAACAGCTATTATCTCCATTTCCTCATGTTTATAACAAACCAAATTTTATGAAAATTGGTTAAAAATGAAGTGAGTTACAGTCGACTACTATAGCTAAGTCCAGACTCCAGATACAAGCGCACTGTTTTCCTATGGATCTCCACTGCCCCAATATGGCGGATGTGCTGGCGTATATCATCAATGGGAAATAACAGCCAATATTGCATCTATGAATGATGTCTATGAATGCAGCCAAGTAGGTGATTACAACAGAGTGTAGGAAGGTCAAGAAAAATGATTTAGTGCACTCGCAAAATGGCAACATAAAACCAAAACTAACTGGGTCAAATGAGTACAATAGAATAAAAACATGAACTGTGGTTCCGATGTTCACGTGTGAGTTTAAGTATCCTACCAGACGAAGAAAATGAATACGTATGAGATACAGAATCTGCCACAATATCTGTTTATAGAGAAGGAATATATATAGAATAGACAGAATTTAGTACATTTAGAATATACAGATTAACAATTTCAGTTTGATCTTGCTACTACCTCTATCAAAACACAAAGATCTGCACAGTGATGAACAGAATATACAATAAATAAAGAAAATGATAATAAAGAACAGTGATGGAAAAAATAATGATTCTGATTCACGGCTCTTTCAATGTAAGACTTGACAGGTATGTTAAACCTATACTTTATTTGTTCAAGCAAATGAGATTTCAAACTTGATTTTCAGGCTTCATATACGAAAAAAAAAATCTTGTGCGGCATTTATTCATGCATGCTATTCTTGTTTATTTCATTTTCCTGATTAAGGACATAAAGGATGATGTATTCTGTTGGAACATGTACTCATATATAAATGTGTATTCAATAATAAACCAATCATTATGTTACCATCATGTATATGTACACACATGCATACATACATAACTACATATACTGTACAAACTATAAAACAATATATGTATGTATGCAAGAATTACTTTATTTCCTATAGAAGAAAAGTTTTTACAAATGTTTCTTTACACTGAAATAAAGGAAATGTAAACCGTTCACCCTCACAGTATTGGCAGAAGCCCATTTGGGCAAAAGTTGTCGATAGTTTTGGTGAGTGTGATTTATATAAAGACACTGGGCCACTGTGAATGAACCAAACAGAAGTAAGTTGAATTAAATAATAAGCTACTAAAATCATTTAGTTTGGGCCGGTGAAAAATAAAGGCCATATAGTATACACACATGCACAAGCTCCTGGTGTTAGCGAAGTCTCATTAGACCAGTAAACAAAAAGTAAGTGATCTTAGAATTGTTCTTCTTATTAAAACACAAGACTTCGCATTGGCCATGAAGATCACAGTGGTTTAAATACACAGGGCTAACAAGATAAGAAGAAACAGTTGAGCAGGGATCAATGAGACTACTGTACCTTCCTGTTTCAGAGCAGGATACTCTTTACTTCCATTATTATGAAAACTGGAATGTGCCATTACAGTATCAGACAGGGGGATATTCTATACAAGCAAAACCACTGATGCAGCAGAGTAACTCACCAGCAATATAAGTAAGTTTCAGGGCCAAACATTAATATTAATGTTTTTACAAAATACTAAATTAAAAGAAAGAGCAAACCTGTACAACACCATCAGTCTTAAAATAGTTCTTACATTCTTCATCTTCCTTCTGCTGCTTCCTGCCTCTTTTAGAAATGCAAAAGGCGCTCTCTAGAGGTTCTGAGAAGAGGAAGAGAAGAGAACCTGCTCGCTATGTAGACAATCAAGGGCTCGTTCAACAAGGATTCTCTGGATGATCGAAGTGTGGCTCCTCTTTTTCTGGAACGAAAGCTCGCTGTGTACACATACATCTGAAGATACAGTGGGGCAAAAAAGTATTTGGCAGCCACTAGGGCTGCACGATTTATCGATTTCAAATCGATATCGCGATTTGAAACAACGCGATTAGCAAGTCGCAAAAATCGCGATTTAGGATATACATTACACAGCATGTCGGACCCAGGGTTTAAAACTGCTGTGAGAATCGTTTTACAAATTCATGCCGTGCTCCCTGTGTGACAGTCATTCTCACCAATAACAAGCGCCGTGCTTCTCGCGTGCCAGTCATGCTCACCAATCAGAAGTGGCCCAAGAAGGCGTATAGGCCCACAAACAGCAAACACGTGAAACCCAAGGAAAATGTTGCATTCGCGGTGCAGAAAAATAATGATTCCGCTACTGAGCTGTAAATTGCCTTCCTATTTCATGGTCTGAGATTGTTTCAGAAAGATCCTATCATCAATAGAACCGGCGAGCTCCTTTTAAACACCAGCTGCAATATACTTCAGCGTATGTTAATAACACAATAACAGCAGCTAACAACACAACAGCGCAAACAAAAGGGCTGCATACACCGAAGCAGTTCTTGCTTGTTCATTGGCGTGGGAAAAGGCGGATGTAGTGTTATTAGGAGGGTAATAAGCGTTACCTGCAAGATCGCTATTTTTCTTTTTGCTGCAATTGTTTTCATTATTACTTTATTTAACTTGACACATCACATCTTTAAATCTCATCCTTGCATTAAAATATAGACCAGTTAATACTGATGGTACAGTATCTCATGCTGTGTCATATGTTTTAAAATTACTACACACTGAATATTGAACTGAAGCTTGACATAAAAAATTAAATCGCAAATGAAATCGTAATCGCAATTTCTGTCAGAAAAATCACAATTCGATATTTTCCCCAAATCGTGCAGCCCTAGCAGCCACCGATTGTGCAAGTTGTCCCACTTAAAAAAGGTCATTTTCATCATAAGTACACTTCAACTGTGAGACAAAAAATAAAAAAGAAATCCAGGAAATCACATTCCATGATTTTTTAAAAAATTATTTGTATAATGGTGCAGAAAAGTTTTTGGTCAATAACAAAATTTCACCTCAATACTTTGTAATGTAACCTTGGTTGGCAATGACAGAGGTCAAACGTTTCCTGTAGGTCTCCACCAGGTTTGCACACACTGTAGGTGCTATTTTGGCCCATTCTTCCATACAGATCTTCTCAAGAGCTGTGATGTTTTGCGGCTGTCGCTGGACAACACAGACTTTCAACTCCCTCCACAGATTCTCTATTGGATTGAGGTCTGGAGACTGGCTAGGCCACTCCAGAACCTTGAAATGCTTTTTACGTAGCCACTCCTTCGTTGCCCAGGCAGTGTGTCTGGGATCATTGTCATGCTGGAAGATCCAGCCACGGTTCATCTTCAGTGCTCTCACTGATGGAAAGAGGTTTTTGCCCAAAATCTACGGACCTTTTGAGCACTGCAAGACTTTAATCCATGACAACGTAGTGTGTTACTAATAGTTTAGTAACACAGTTACCTTTATTACTGTGGTCCTAGCTCTCTTCAGGTCATTGACCAGTTCCCCCCGTGTAGTTCTGGCCTGTTTTTACACTGTTTTCAAGATCATTTGTTCCTCATGAGGTGAGATCTTGCATGGAGCCCCAGGTCGAGGGATATTGTCAGTGATCTTGTATTTATTCCATTTTCTAATAATTGCTCCAACAGTCGATCTCTTCTCACCAAGCTGCTTGCCTGTTGTAGATTGTACACCTGCACAAGACTGGGATGAGCCAATCTTGTCCCTGGTGTCCTTAGACAGCTCTCTGGTCTGGGCCATGGTAGAGGTTGGAGTCTGACTGTTTGAAGGTGTGGACAGGTGTCTTTTATACTGATTACAATTTCAAACAGGTGCCATTAATACAGGTAACGAGTGGAGGATAGAAGAGCTTCTAAAAGAAGTAGTAACAGGTCTGTGAGGGCCAGAATTCTTGCTTGTTTGTAGGTGCTAAATACTTACTTTCTGCACCATTATACAAATAAATTCTTTAAAAATCATACAATGGGATTTCCTGAATTTCTTTTTTACATTCTGTCTCTCACAGTTGAAGTGTACCTATGATGAAAATGACAGACCTCTCATTTTTTTAAGTGGGACAACTTGCACAATCGCTGGCTGCCAAATACTTTTTTGCCTCACTGTATGTGCTGTATGTGGGATCCCTGAGAAGAACAAACTAAAGAACCCTTAGATAAAACATTGTTCCATCACCAGCCTCCATGTTTTAAAGTTACATTACTAGGAAACCATGGAATGTGTGAACTCTTCAGTCCTGAAGGATTTCTGATGTCAGACTTGCCTTGGACAGAGAGGCGGCGTGCTGTGGGTAGAACATGGAGGTGCTCAGAGTTATCGATCCAGTGGGGAAGAGAAGACGTTTCACCCTGCCACCATAAAGTGACACAGAGAAAGAGACACCACATTTCATTTCACTAGCACAGGAAATAATCACTAACTATACATTAAAAAAATAATAATAAAGTTTCACAAATACCTCTGGCAAGGTAAAGCCCAAAGATTGCAGAAAAACCAAGAAGACCGACGCTTGGGTAGAGCTCAGTTGGAGGATTTATCAGAAACTCATGTGTCTGAAAAAATAAAAATTCTGCACATAGTAAAGATATTCATAACATTTTTCTTTGTGCACAGATTAAACCTTCTCACCTGTCACAGTCTTTACAGATGTATTAATACCAGGCTCTATGGCCTTATAATATTACTGAAAGATGTAAATGATTAATTATTTAAAAGGAAATTGGATATATTAACATAAAGTATACAAAAGTCAGAAGCAATAAATATTAATAGTATACCTCTGCTTTATCCAGAACATATGAGGTCTTTTCCTGGAAAGAGGAAACAAACGTGCTAATCAGTACTAAAATGGCAAACCTAAACATCATGCAAATATCCATTCTGAAAACTTTAAAACATTATTTATCTTTTAGAATTATTTATAATTTTCATTTTCCTTGGGGCAGTTCACAAAATGTCCAGCAGGTGTCAGTAATGTTTTAATAAACACAATTTTATCAATGATAAATGCTGTTGTATTAAGTACAATGAATTAATACAATTAATTTGGGGAACTGGAAACAATGGTCTTTCTCCATTTGTACACTATCTGTCTGACTGTGCATTGGTGAGGTCCAAACTCTTTAGAGAGGTTCTGTAAAAGATTTTCCAACCTGATAAGCATCAACAACTGTTTTTCAGAGGTCCTCAGAAATCTCCTTCTGCAGATTCTCCTCCAAATGTATTGTGAATACCAGACTTTGATAGATACCTGTTCTTTAAATAAAACAGGTGTTCACTCAACACCTGATTGTCATCCCATTGATTTTCCCCCTGCCACCTGACTCTAATTTCACCTTCAACTTAACTGTTAATGCTACAGGTTCACATACTTTTGCAACTCTCAGATAGGATCATTTTCCTCAATTAACAATTGACCAAGCATAATATTTGAGTCTCTTCTGTTTAATTGGGTTTTGTTTATCACAAACTTTCAAGCACCACAGTAACGTTCTGGAATTCCCTTCAAATACAATTTATTGATTAAAAACCACTGAGGATGAAAAATCTACCACTTGACTATGTGTATCATTTATAATATTTAAAGGAAAAATTACACCCTGAAGGACTTGCACATTAATCCAGTTTTGCTGATAGAGCTGGACGGTAGGGCTGTGTTGATCTGAGACTGTAGACACTAAAAAGTCCATAGGAGAGATGGTAGCTGATTAAACAAGCACTGTGAGATAATAATAAAATGCTAAGATTGGTGACAGCGCTTGGAACCATAAGGCAACAGATTAAAGAAACTGTGGGGAATAAACTGAAAGCGGAATATTAGTAGGGCAAAAGAAAGGAGTTGTCATGGTAGGGTAAGAGTGTGTGTGTGTGTGTGTGTCCTGTTGGCACCTTCTAAACATCACAGAGTAGCATCAACCTTACCAGCAACTGGAGGGATTAGATTGTAGAACTCTAAAATCTCCCTTTTCTTTCTTTCTCGTTCTCTCTCTTTCTTTATTTCTTTCTTTCAAACATTAAAAATAACAATACAGCAGTAAAAAAGATAAACCAACAGGAGGATAAATCAAACATTTTATTAATCAGAAAACAAAAACAACAGTGGGTGTGTAAAGAGCAGGAAGAAGTCAGATGTTTTTCATGTCCCAAATCATAACAGTAACTTTCTGTTGGCCATGTCCCGAAAAATGTCAATGACGTCACTGTGGTTGACTGTAACATCCTTCTCAAGTGCCAATAAAAGAAGCTCTGACAACCTCTCCTCTGAACAAAGTGTATGAAGTTTGGTTTTAACTAGGTTTAGTTTTGAGAAAGAACGTTGCACAGTTGCTGTGGACACCGGGAGTGGCCATATGTCTGCAGCAGCTCAGTCATGTTGGGGAAGATCAGATGTACATTGTTTTCTTTGACCACTGAAAGAATGGATGTCACACTGATCAGTGGAGGGCATGAGTA